ATTCGCCCTAGTTTGAAGGTCTAAATAATTGCGGGATTGGGACAATGTTCCTTTTCTACTTCTCTTCACTTTTGGGGTTGATCATTGCCCTGTTTTCGGAGGCCAGCCTGACTGTGTGATTTTCTGTTGTGCATTTATGTGCAGGAAGAAGTGGGAGATTTCTGCGAGTTTTGCACGGTGAGTGTGATGCCTTCATCTCTATGTCATTGATGCAGTACGTGCAGTCTCTTCAAATTGTCAAAAGGCTTACTCCGCATCAGCTCATACTTAAACCACCAGTCCTTGGCCCATACATGGGCCGCGGGCCTTCCCCGTTAACACGCGGCAGTTTTCGGGGTTCGGGGAAGGGCCAGCAGTGCAATGGAGGAGGACGTGCGTGGGCCCACAAAAAACGGGGCAAATGGACTGTAAGATGTCCTGGTGCTGTGCTATGTGGAAACGTTCGGAGGCTGAAGGCGACGAGGGGCAAAAGAGGAAACAAAAGGAACTGCAACACGAGAAAGAAAAAAAAAAAAACAGATCGTTGCTTTTCTTTCTTTTTCTGTTTTTTGGAAGAAAACTGGTTTTTCACGAKTGCCCGCCAKCAGTGGWTGAWTYTGAGGGCAATCACGTTCAGAGCTTGGTATCTCTTTTGCCCTTTGTTTTTTTTTTTTTTTTTTTTTTTTTGGAAGCAGTATATCGGCTGTTTGTGCTTCTGCTCCCCGTGAGACACGGGGGATCAATGCTTGCCAATGGTTCCAAGTCCACAGCTTCACTGTGACATAGCACTTTCCAGAATGTATCTGGCTGCACTTCTGTGCAGCAGAGGATGTATTTGAGGGCAATCACGTTCAGATCTTGGTACCTCTTCTCCCCTTTGTTTTTTTTTTTTGTTTTCTGTTTTTTTTGCTTTTTTGGAAGCAGTATCGTGGCTGTTTGTGCTTCTGCTCCACGTGAGAGACGGGGAGCATCCAATGCGTGCCAACTGTTTCAATTCCAGGGCTTCACTGTGACGTAGCACTTTCCAGAATGTATCTGGCTGCACGTTGCTGCAGCAGCGGATGTATCTGAGGGCAACCATGTTCAGAGCTTGGTACCTTTTTTCCCCTTTGTTTTTTTTTTTTTGTTTTTTTTTTTCCTTTTCAAGATTCACGGCTGTTTGTGCGTCTGCTTGTTTTTTGTTTTTCGTTTTCAAGATTCGCGGCTGTTTGTGCATCTGCTCCCCGCCAGAGGCGGGGAGCATTAAACGAGATCTTTGGATCTGGATGCACATCTGCCCAGGCCATTTTCATGTACACGAGTGGAAACAAGAAAACTATCGCCGCTTTACATTCCAGCTGCTGGCAGCAGGTCCAGAATAAGGGCGGTACCTGTGCCAAGCATCAAATGTCCCATGTCGGTTCCCACCCCCAGCAGGCTCGGAAAAAAATTGGCGCGCAGGGCATATTCAGGCTCGGCTTCAATAGCTGGGCCAGGTACTGGTGGTTTAAGCTGCTATGAGGAAACGTCACTGTTGTGTACTCTTTTGTCAATCACCTCTGAAGTACACCAAGCACGCCCATGTATCTGAGAAAGATGTCTCGACTCTTAAGCAGAATAGTTGAGGATGTTGGGGCATATCTTTCGAGACTAGGGACTATGATGTAAAGATGAGCCATAGATCAACCATCACAGATTGGCCGACTCTGGCATTGCAGAAGAAGTGGTTTCAAAGAGTTTAGTGTCTAGGGTCGAAGGTTTAGGGTTTAGAGATCAAGGTGATGTCCTGCTGCACACTGTCGAAATTGGAACCCTACATAGAGCATCAGCATGGCCCATATGTGAGGATGGCGCACACAAATCAATAAAGGATAAAAAAATAACTTGAAGTTGACTGTCTTTACTTTCCTTTTTTTTTTGGTCCCTTTTCTGGCAAGGGATAGGGTGAGCACACATCTATGCGTTGTCGAGTGCTGAGCATTTCTTTGTGGAAATTCATTTAATCCGCTGCAGACCTTTGCAATACTGTTTGAGGCAGGGTAGATGAGGTGAAAGCTTCGAACATTCTCTTTTGAGAACTTCGTATGGAGGGCCAAGTTGATCAATATGCACGATAAAGTAGCAAATAAAACTGTAACAAAGTTTTATACGTTTGACTGAATTCAATCTGCAGGTTAGATGGGGTGTAAGCTCTCAAGAACGTCTTTGAGAACTTAGCATATGTGGTCCGAGTTGGTGGATATGCACGGCAAAGTAGCACGTAAAACTGTAATAAAGTTTCATAGGCTTGAGTGAATTCAATCTGCAATTTTGTGAACTTAATGTCAGGACATATTTATGGTTTTGTATTTAGCACGCAATGCTCATGGTTCTCCATGCTTGTTATGAAACATTTTACAGTGTTTAGCTCATCGTAATTTGACTCCCTTTGAACTGAGGATGAAGTCAGTGGGACCCTGCTGGTTTCCCTAACTGTTACATGTCCAGTTGGGCGATGTACGTAATGACCGAGGATCCACAATGTGATAAAAAGGACTGAATGGACAATGCAGTGCAAGTGGAATCTCAACAAGCAATGTGCATTCCGATACAATGGTGCTTTATAGCGCAGGGAAGACTTTAGATACAAGTCCTGACCTGACCGGGACTGACCTCTTTCACGCAGTACAAGATAGCGAAGCAGAATGCTAGAATACTAAGGACTAGCCCACTCAATGTTTCAACACAGACCAAACATACATCATGATAATTGGGCTTACCTGGCTGGTGCGGAATTGGCCCAGGGACATCAGGCCCTGCTCTGCGTGGTGCTTCCTCCATAGCTGTCCTATTGGGGTTTTGACAGCTGCCATCGAAGCAGCTTCTCTATGCCTGCTTCGAAGTGGCAGATCTTCATCTTCATGGATTTTCTGTTCTTCTTCATCATCCTGGGAGCTGCGCTCCCCTGCTGAGTGGACACTTCATCTGCAGTGGACTTCTTGAGTGGTGCAGAGGGGTGTTGGATTTAGGAGGGTGTGTGGCGATTGGCAGGCTTGATAGGTTGGGTGCCCGCAGGCACCATAGCTAGAGCTTGAGGAAGAGGGAGGAAGAAGAAGACTCCCAAAGTATTCGATGAAATCTTGTAAATAATTGGTCCATGGGTGTTGATAACGTGGTTGGGATTCTTGGAACAAGTATTCTGGATTGATTGGAGGAGGATGTGGGATTGCAGAATTGAAATTCGTTT